GCAATGAGATCTGGCTCCTTTGAAACCCCACCCAGGACACAGGCCCACTCCAGCCTCAATTGCTGCACAGACAGAGACTCCCCGCCACGACTCCCTGCAGCTCCCAGGAGGCAGAGCGAGGTGATCCCTGGTCTACTGACACGCAGGCAGAGGGAAACTCATTGATGGCCTGGGAAGGTGAGTAGAAACAAGGATGGGAATTCGGGTCTCTGGCTCTGGGTCCTCTGTCCCCCCACTATGCCCCACAGCTCCTTCAGTACTTTTAAACACTGACAGAAGCCTGCTCAAATCCGTAGCTCGGATGCTGCCATCACGTTCCCAAGAGCCACTGATGCTGAGTGGTTTGGCTTTGGAAGGCCAGATGCTTGTCACCGTTTATCTGTGTAATGATGAGGGGAAGCACAGGGACTGGTTTGTCCTCGGGGAACCCGGGCCAAATCACATCTTAAAGTAAATGTCTCTCTGCCAGCCCCGCAGCCTGCTTTGTGGATGAACCCCTTCCAGCTATCGCCACCATCTCAACGTCATGCGACGCAGACAGGTTCTGCTTGGAGCTGCTCCACACCCCTTTTCTCCCATTAGGAGGCCACACCGATGCTGGCAGCATGCAGGATGCACTCATTTTTCTCGTGTCTTTGTGCCTTGGGCTCTGCTGGTCAGGGGGACAATGGTTTTTCACAAAGCCAAAGGCTTCACTGCACACAGCAGAGGCCAGACAGGCCTGTAGCGCTCCTCAGGACCCTGCTGTTTCAGATGTTCTGAACACATCGGGGAGGGATCTTGAAGAAACGCTCCACAGTTAGCAGGGACACAGTCCATGGTGGGACACTGAGGCAAGGGGCTGCCTTAGGGTTATGCCCACACCAGGGAGCCCAGCTCAGCCCCCAAGCCTGGCAAGGTCTGGAACTCAGGGCCAGCAGGACTTGAGCCCCACCAAGATAGGTATGATCTGCATAGCGGGGCCTGGGAAGTGCAGGGCCTCACTTGCACGGGGTGCCTGGCTGTCTGGAGACAGAGCCTCTGTGTGGGACCTGCACTGGAGGTCAAGGTGCATCTGCCCCGGCCTGTCCTGCTGGCACTACACGTGCACCTGGGGGGCTGCCCCAGCTTCCTGCTGCCCTCGCTGGAGCAAGGTGCTGCAACCATGCGTGTCCCCGCTTCAGCGATAATCAGGTTGACAGTGATTGGTGTAGGAACCAAGGAACCATAGTAATGAACATCGTGCTGCTGGATAATCATGACATTAGCATTATTGGATTAGAACATTTGCATAATTTGGGCAAGAGTAACTACCTGCGCGGAAGACATATGTTTACATGAATTTACATCCATCTGCATCCTGATGAAGCCTGTTTGACTGCCTTCTCAGCAGCTTTCTCGTGACCGGTCATGGCCATTGGCAGCTCTGCCCCCGGGGACATCCCAGGCTGACAGCAGCAGTGACTAGTGCAGCTTGCAGGCAGCCCAAGGAGGGCCTCTAAAACTGGCAGCAGGTTCCATCCTTCCTTCATCCCATCTTGCTCATAGAGGGACAAGCGAGTTTGAGTCCTGGCTCCTTTTTGCCTGCAGCAGGAGCTGCCCCTGCCTAGCCTTCAAGTGGGAACGGAGGTACTTGCTGAAAGCCCCAGATCCTGGAGTCCAATGATTATGGAAGAACTTCAGCTTCCATTGAACAAGAAACATCTGGCTATCCTGGGTTAGACTAGATGATCTCTGGAGGCACCTGTCTCTCTCTCTCCATGCAAAAGGATTCATCCATGCAAATACGGCATCGCTCCCACCAGAACCCACAAAGGTCTCTCCAGCCAAACCAAACTTCATGCATTTGACTTCTCCCCCCAACTTGTGCCCCTCACTTTAAGGCATGTTTAAGAAAGAAAGGCAAAGCTCTGAAAAGTTTGCTGCTAGGAACTAGTCTGCTAGGCAAGAGGCAGAACAGCAGCCAGGAGTGCATGTCCTGTGTCCGAGATCTAGGAAAAGCCTGAGGCTTTGTAACTGCCATGTGGAGGACCTGCACCTTCACCCTCTCTCAGGCCAAACCAATGCGTGTGTGCAAGCAGCTGCAAGCTTGGATGTGCAAGCTCCATGTCCCCACTAAAATCACAGTATTATCATGGGGGGTAGGAGCACAGACTCATAATGAAGCACAAAAATAACTCAGTCCCCGTCTCTGCCACTGACTCCCTGCATACGCTTAGAACAATTCACTTCACTTGTCAGTGCCTAGGCTGTTAAATAGGGATAGTTTCTACTTGCCTCACAGGGGCTAGGATGTTAATGCGTGGAAAGCATGGAGGTCTCTGGCTGGAGAGCAACTGAGAAGCACAGAGTATTCTGAGCGAATTACGGCTTTGTATATTATAATCATTTAGACGCATTTGCTTGCACATGGCACAAAACCTTTGTTTCGTGAACACGAGCTGCCTTTGAGACCCCCCAGTCGAGGGAACGGACAAGGAAAAGGAATCCTGGCCGAGGGCCAGTCAAAGCCACGCAGCCCTGATGGGAAGCCCTGCCTGCAACAGCATCCAGCTCACAGCACAACTGCCCATGGTGGTGGTGCTAGGCACTGACGCCGACTGTTAATGCCTAATGACTCTGTCACAAGGGATGAAGCTGTGAGCCTAACAGCATGGCAACAGGAGGGAGGAAGCGCACGCTTGTAGTGCTGAGGATGTATGGGTTCAGACAGGGGCAGGGGGTTTCAATTATTTATGGCCACCTAGATGGGAATCTGAATCAGAACAGCTTGGGTGTTTGATCAGCCTCGCGTTACCATAATGGCTCACAGCTGGAGGAGCCCGCACGCAGGATAGAATTAAACCCTGTCACTCCCCCAGCCTCTCCTCCAAATGCAGCTTCTTAAACAAAGGGAAACAAATGAGGTGTGCCGCTTTACCACTGCGTGCTTATCGGCCTGACTCCGCTGTCACTGGAGGGGCTGAACTCCAACATGCCTTGCCTTGCCTGTCTCCAAGCGCCTGCCTGTGTACCGGGAACGGGATGGCCAGGCTCTAGGACCCGGCATGGGAATGAAGAAGTTCTCTACTGAGGCTTTGGAGCCAAACCTCAGGGCTGAGTCATGCTGAGAGCAGGGGTCAACTGAATAAATCAAGTGCTTGTAGGAGGTGAGAGCAGCAGGAAGCTTGGGGTACCAATAAACCCAGAGTCCAGGAGGGGGAAGCCTAGAGGCTGCCTGGGCCAGAGCCTTTTTGCAAAGCATTTCCCACCACTAATTCGAACACAAGCCCAGCACTGGAAGCAGCACACTAGATGGTTACTGGGTGCAATCAACTGGTAACAG